CTAGGTTAAGTGAAGTCCAGAAGGAGGACCTGAGAAAGATTGTTTTTGTGTTTGAAGACGTGTTTTCGGACTGTCACGGAAACACGACGGTGATCGAACACGATACCGAGCTAACTTGTGAGGAGCCAATCCCTGGCAAGCCGTATCGTTGTTCTCCTGTGGAACGTCGCAAGTATGAGCAGCTGTTGGTACCGCATAGGTATCGTCGCCTAAAAGTGGCCGGTTACTGAGATGGAGCATGATGCTCCAACAGCACAACTTCGACGTTCGCTAAAAAAAAGGAAAGCTAAACGCTAATGCAGACGCATTGAGCCGTGCTTTTATTTAGTACCTTCTCCACCTTTCGGTTTCTCGCTGGCGATTCGGGGCAAAATTTTGTCCTCATCACGACCTGGGCTGAGCGCTCTCGTTCAGAGTGATCTCAAGGGACCAACTTTATGTTGTATTCTAATTCGTTACGTTGTTGTACGTGGAAAAAATTTGAGTTGTCATTTTAAGAGTCTTGTGTCCCACATGTGCCTCTTGATGTAGAGGGAACGAAATTCCGATAGACACGTACCTAGGTATATGTTGTACTTTACTTTGTCTGGTGTTCTGTCGGGTGAGCAAGGGCACTTGCTTGTGTCGTGTGTTGTCTGTTGTCAAACCGTTCTTGACAAGTTGCAGAGCCTTCGACAAGTGCTGAAACCAAAGATCGTCAGAAGAGACGAGCGGAGCGGGTCGGCAAGTTGTGGCGACAAGCCAGTGGAGCTGGGATCCGACCTCAAGAATTGGGTGTGTTCCCGGAACGGAGTCTGGAGCTGCATTCTCCCTATGGCCCTGGAGGCAAACCTGGAGGGACCTGGCGAACGAGCGCGCCTGACATCCGAGCCACGTGGAAGCAGCTCGTCTTTCCGGCGCATTGTCTGGCGGCGGGGGTGCTGTTATGCCTGCGGGTCCACAGCGAACGTCCGTGCTTCTGAAAAAGGCAATCTGTGTCAAGGCTAGCCCGCCTGACGCGAACAACTCAACGGCGTAAACACGCGCGGCGCCTTTCTGGCGCGCACGTGCAGTGAGTCAGCGCAGCCAGCGAGCCCGTCGAGTAAACAACCGGCGTCTTCCTGTCTGCGGGGGGGGGGGGGGTGACGAAATGCCGGGCGACGTCACTCGTCCTTGGGCGCAGCCACCTGCAGCACAGCCTCTCCAGATTCGATGAGAAAGAATGACGCGGCCCAGCGGCGACCTCATTGGAGGATTCTGACCTCGCGACCAGCGGCGCTTCGCGTTGGACATTTGGGTTGGACCCGGGGCATATAAAAGAAGCCCTGCGGCGCGTCGAGAGAGACCCCTTTGACAGCAGACCCATTTGAGAGTAGAGCTATGTGTTAGAGAGAAGAGCTCGGCTCTTCGCGTCTCTGTCGGCCCCAGTGCCGAATTTGTAACGCCTCTGTATATATGCTGTACATAAACCTTGTTTAACTCACCGTCGTCTCGTCCGCTCGTCTATCAGCTCTGCGCAGAAGCAGTCGCGAGCTGAGAAACCTACGCTACCAAACGGCTGGTGACCTTTCCGGCGGAATTCGAAGCAGTGGTGCCTTCGGGACTGTGTTGGCGTCGCCGTCTTTCGTAAACAGTGGTTGCAGCGGTGAGATTTCGAGGCGCCCTTCGTAACGTCGTCGGAGGCGCGCGTCGCAACAGCAGCCACGCTGGCTCTGTGAAATATAAGGTGTTTTGAGATGGCGTGTCACCATCTGTGGCGCTATGCGGGCAACCGATGGGAAAGCGTCACTGCAACGTTTCTGCGTCCGCTGCTCCGTGACGCGGTGGCGACGTTGTCTCGAGCCAGAAAGAAGCAGCATGAAGGAGCGATTCTGACAGACGTATGAGGTGTGGCAAACGCGCCTATCGCATTTTCGGGGGAAAGCGCTCAGATGCACGCGTGACGTGAGCATCGCGACCACTCCCTGATTTGAGGCGGACAGACGGCTCCCGTTGAGAATTGTGCGTTTCTACTGGCGTTGAAATGAAGGAGGCGTAGGCTGCGTTATTTCGACATACAGTTGAAAAGCATTTCAAAGGCTCTGGTCGCTCCTGTGTACAAGCTTATTACAGTTTTCGTAATCGTAGTATTATTTGGTGACAGTTAGTGGATACTTGTGCCAAATCAACTATTGTGAAGTGATAGGATAATTTTTAAAATGGTTTTCTTACTATTTGAAAATTATCCGAAAAATATTAGGTCCATTTAGGCGTTCAATTCGAATATACCACTATTAGATTCGTATTGAATTTGCTTCCAAAATTCACTGCTTGCTAATTCCTTGCTTGCGCGCATATTTTAATATGACAGGGCGCGTGCTGTCAATGCTTCACCGCTCTAACGACATGCACCGCGGTGAAGTGAAAAAAAAAACTGGCTGGAGGCACGTTTTTTATACGCAGGGCATAGAAGTAGATTTCGAAGTGTGCTTGACCTAGAGGTAATGCGCTGTCACGCGCCTCCTTTTAATAATAGCACTGCTTCTCGCTCCTTATGTGAATGGAATGGCTTGGCGTGTTTATAGAGTGACACTACGAAGATGTTCGTTTGAATGTCTATTGAGGCGCTGCTACAGATATTCGCGCTTCTTCTTTCGCATCCCTATCATAATCAGTAGCGGTGGTATTCACTACGAGTAGCCTAAGATATGTGAGAGTGAGTGCAAGCTGAGCCTATAATGTGTATCCGATCGAGTGACGTGCGCGACGTAGGCACTCAAGTGCTCCGACACCGGTTCTTTGAGCTGCTACAAAGGCTTACCGAATTACGATTATTGTTATATAGTCCCCACATAAGCTCTTTACACCGTCATCTTCTATTTCACTGCATATGTGCGCCGACGTCGATGCTTCCGGTGATCGTTGCAAACGGAGCGACGAGTCTTTCGGCAGCGTTGACACAGGCGTGCACACAGCGTTTTCATAGCATCTTGGTAGCACCAGCTACTTGATAGCGCCGTCTTCCCATTCATTGTAGGTGGTTTGCCAGTACGCGTGCAAGCGTCAACTTAGTTCTCGCCATCGCCGCGGCATCTTCATCAGCTCAGCCCGCATCCGACCAGCAGCCCGACACACAAAGTAGATAGACGCAGCCATGTTGGCTGACGAAATCACACAAAAACCAATGAGCGTGCAGCTTCCGAGAGCCTCGTAAGGATGCCTGGCGCAGTGCATTGTGTCAGAGTCTATCCGCTCACCTTTGGGGGCTCGCTCGCTGGATTCAGTGCCGACTGGTTGTGCCCTCGCGATCTTTGACGACAGCGCAGCTCTGGCCTACTGGATTGGTCCTACGCCACCTCCTGCCGCCGGTCCCCTACGACGACGTCAGCGCAGCTCCGGCCGACTGGATTACCCTTCGCCATCTCCTGTCACCGACAAGAGCTCTCGCAAGTGGTGCCCCATCCTCGGACTCCTGTGACCGTGTTTCTATCTTTCCTATTTCTCGTATGTCGTCACTCACTGTCCTAGCGCATCTCTCTCTCTCTCTCTCTCTCTCTCTCTCTCTCTATATATATATATATATATATATATATATATATATATATATATATAGTGGGAGTAATAATTCAATGGGACAGTTAGTCTTCGTGAAGGTATGGGATATGGCACTACGGGAGCGTTGTCAACAAGCATAAATATATTTATTTCCCAACAGTTTTGGGAGGGGTCCTCCCTTCATCAGGGGATGAGTTCCAGAGTTATTCTCTAGAACTCAATAGCTCCAGAGTTATTCCGCAATCAAAATTAAGCCTAATCACTAAAAAGAATAAATTGGTAATATCACCTCACAAACGGATTTAAATTTTGTCCGCTTAATATAATAATAAACCGCACCCCATAGGCTACCAGGAGGCCCAATTCCGTACACTCTAGGCCCTTAATTAAGGTGGTAATCAGCAAAAAGCTCATTTCATTAAAACAATTTTCCAAAAGAAGCTACAAACGCCACCGAAAATAGCTAATATCTTCTTTTAGAACACAACAGTCCGGTTTTTTTCATGTAAAATAATTTTGATAGCTTGAGGTAACCGGAAGATACCGAGTTAGAAAGAATATAACGAGAACCGCTAATAAACGTGTGGCGCCCGCGTCTTCCCTCGCCCTCGCTCAGATGAGGAGGGTGGCTCACTGCTCGGGAGAAAGGTACACCCGTCAGATCAAAGTCTTGAACCTCGTGTTTTTTTTGTTTTTTTTCCTTACGATCGCTTTTAACTTTGCTACCGGGAAACTTCTAACTCATACAGTGCAAAGCCCTAGTTGTAGACCTGTCGCCGCTCAGGTTTCATCAGGACAGGAGTAATAGTACCGGAACTATTTCGTGACCAATATTAAGCCTAATCACTAAAAAGATTAATTTGGTAACATCACCTCACAAACGAATTTAAATTTTGTCCGCTTAATATATTAATAAACAGCACCCCATAGGCTAATCGGAGGCCCAACTCCGTACTCTTTAGGCCCATAATTAAGGGAGTAATCAGCAGAAATCTCATTTCATTAAAACATTTTTATAAAAATAACCACAAACTTGACTGATACACCACTGAAACTTACATTTAGAACATAACTGTAGAGGACGCCACCTGTTGCTTCTAGTAACTGGGAGGTGGCGCCCCCACTCTGTATAAAAGGCATCGGTGGGCATTAAACGGGGCTTTTTGCTGTTTGTGAACTACGCGTTGTCGGGTCATTCTTCGCGGGCTTCACGCCCACTTTTGGCTCGGCTAGCGGCGTCCGCGCTACCCGGGCACGTCACTACATGGTGTCAGAAGTGGGATCCTGCGACAACCGTGCAACATGCAGGATAACCCACCGCCGCCTCCACCGTGACCGCCAGCTTCACATTGCGAACTCCGTCGCAGTTCACTTTTGACAACCCAGCCCAATGGACGGCGTGGCTTCAACAATTCGAGGATTACTCCTTCGCCTCAGGACTGTCCTCCGCCCCCGAAGAAACCAAGGTACGCACGCTCCTCTACTGTATGGGTCCCCAAGGTGGCGAGGTGCTTTCTTCTCTCATGTCAGATGCCGAGGCCTATCGCTCGTACTCAGGCGTGACAACAAGTCTTTCGGGATATTTTGTACACCCCGTCAACGAGGTATACGAGTCGAGCAGGTTCCACAAGCGCACGCAAGCGGTAGGCGAGTCAGTCGACGCGTTTTTCACGGCGCTCCGAAATCTCGTGAAGAAGTGCAACTACGCCTCTCGGGAAATCGACGACCGGCTGGTTCGGGACCGATTTATCGTAGGTTTGCGTGACTCTCGCTTGACCGACCAGCTCTGCCGCAATCCAAAGCTTACACTGGACGAGGCGCTCATCCAAGCGCGTCAGTACGAAGACGCTGAAAATGAGAAATTGCTGCGTCATGGGACAGGCCTTGCACCAGACGCACTGAACGTCGACGCCGTTGCGAACAACCAGTACCGAATGGCCGACGCCCCAGCATGCGAAGCTGCCCGAAGTAAAAGTAACGTCTGTCGGCCTCCCGAGTACGGCGCCGGCCCGAAGTCGGCATGCGATTTTTGCGGCCACGTTCCTCATCCGCGATCTGAGTGCCCAGCACGGTGGGCCACGTGCAACCAATGTCGCAAGAAGGGACACTTCGCGGCGCTTTGCCGCTCGAATAATACTAGGCGTTTAAGCCAAATCCAGCTCTGCGCCGTAGATGCCTCGCAAACAGAACGCCGGCCCGTTGTTGTTCATGCCAACGGACACCCCCTTCAATTCAAAGTGGATACTGGGGCGGACGTTTCGGTCGTACCTCCGAGCTTCGCCGGATGCCCAGTAGACCTTGACAAACCCGATAATGAACGGTTGATGGGGCCGGGCCGCTGCCGCCTAAGGTTGCTTGGGACGTTTCCTGCTACCCTGTCGTGGCGAGGCCGGTCTGTATGCAAAACATTGTACGTTGTAGCAGACATTGACTCTCCTCTGCTGGGGTACTCGGTGGTAGTAGACCTGGGAGTCGTCCAGTTTGTTGACACCGTGGAAGATGCGGAAGCTCCGAATAGGCTCCCAACGTCAGACAAAGCCGCAGCTTCGCTGTTCTCGGGCCTTGGCGAGATGCCTAAAGAATACCACATTTGTATCAAGCCGGGAGCGATTCCATTTTCTCTCAGCGTTCCTAGGCGCATCCCTATTCCCCTCGAAGGCGTAGTCAAGAAGCACTTAGATGCCATGGAAAGGAACGGGGTCATCCGGCGAGTCACAGTGCCAACCCCGTGGTGTGCTGGTATTGTGCTGGTACCCAAAGCCGATGGCGAATACAGAATTTGTGTTGACCTCACGAAGTTGAACCAAGTAGTTCTTCGGGAGGGACACCTTATGCCCACAGTGGACCAGGTACTTGGCCGTCTTGGCAATGCCGCGGTCTTCTTGAAACTTGATTCAAAATCGGGGTTTCATCAAATAAGGCTATCGGAAAGCTGTCAGGAGCTGACTACCTTCATAACACCGTTTGGACGCTACTACTACCGCCGCCTGCCCTTCGGCATCACGTCCGCTCCCGAAGTATTTCAGCGCCAAATGTCTCGGATTCTAGAGGGCCTGGAAGGGTGTGTAAACATGGTAGATGACATTCTAGTATTCGGCAGAAGCCGTTCCGAGCACGACAGCAGACTCCAAGCAGTCCTTCGCAAGTTAGAACAAGCGGGCATTACGTTGAATGCCTCGAAATGCTCCTTCGGGGTATCTTCCATCAAGTTCCTTGGTGTAGTGGTGAGCGCCAGTGGCATCTCGGCTAACCCTGACAAGGCATCTGCTATTGTGAACATGAAGCCGCCGACAGATACGCATGGCGTCCGTCGTTTCCTGGGCATGCTGAACTACATTGGAAGATTTTTACCGAACCTGTCTGCCGTCACTACACCGATACGGCTCCTGTTGAACAAGAACGCAGTCTTGACCTGGGACCATGCGCAAGCAACCTCCTTCGAGACATTGAAGGGAATGGTGGCATCTAATGCTTGTATGGCCAGCTACAATCCAGAGCTACCCACCCTTGTGTCGGCAGATGCCAGTTCGTTTGGGCTAGGCGTGGTTCTCTTGCAGGAGCGACAGACGGGAGAGTGACGGGCTGTCGCGTTCGCGTCAAGAGCACTGACTACCGCTGAGCAGCGGTACAGTCAGATTGAGAAAGAAGCGCTTGGTGTATCTTGGGCTATCGAGAGGTTTGAGGAATTCCTGCGTGGGCTCAGCTTTGTCATTGAAACCGACCATCAGCCGCTCGTCAGGTTGCTTGGTTCCGCCGATCTGGACCTCATGCCCCCTCGCATCCAGAGATTTCGCATAAGGCTCATGCGATATCAGTTCACAGTCAAGTATGTTCTAGGAAAGTACGTGGCCACGGCAGACACCCTCTCTAGGGATCCCGAAGGCTCTTCCACGTCCAAAGAGGACAGCACAGAAATTTTCGTGTCTCTGGTCGTGGCAGCCCTTCCTTCTACCCTGGCCGTACGTCTTGAAGACTTCAGGTCTCACCAACCTTCAGACAGCGAGTGCTCAATGCTGAAAGCGTACTGCATGAAAGGGTGGCCTCGACGAGACCGTCTGCCGCTCAACATGACGCGTTACTGGGACAACCGGGGGGACTTCACGGTATGCGAGAAGATGCTGTTCATGGGTGGACGCATAGTGGTGCCCGCAGCACTACGCAGAGACATCGTGAACCTGCTGCACGATGGTCAACAAGGCGTCAATCGGTGCTTGGCGGTGGCCCGAGGCTCTGTATGGTGGCCCGGTCTCAACAGCCAGGTTAAAGCAGCCGTAGAAAACTGCCCAGCATGTGCTTCTATACGCGTTCAACGCTGTGAGCCCATGATTGCGACCGAGACACCATCAGCTCCGTGGGAAAGGGTGGCCACTGACTTGTTTCATTTTGATAATCAAGAGTTCCTGGTGGTTGTCGACTACCGTTCTCGGTACCCTGAGGTCCTGACACTCCGGTCCACTTCTGCGGGAGCCGTTATTTCTGCGATCAAGAGCACATTTGCCCGACACGGCATCCCGGTGACTGTTGTCAGCGACAATGGGCCACAGTTTTCCTGCAAAGCTTTTGAGGACTTTGGGAAGACATATGGTTTCACGCATGTCACGAGCAGTCCACGCTACCCGCAGTCGAACGGCGAAGCAGAGCGCATGGTTCGCACGATCAAGGAGTTGTTTCTGAAGGCCACAGACCCGTTTCTGGCTCTGCTAGCATACCGTAACACTCCCGGTGTGTCTGGCTACAGCCCGGCCCAACTGCTCATAGGACGCTCTCTGCGAACTCGTGTGCCAGCCACGGCTTAAAGCCTTGTTCCAGATTGGCCCCAGGTGAAAGAATTCAATGACAGAGATGCCGCCCAGAGACGAAAACAACAGAGAGACTACAATAACCGACACGCAGCGCATGACCTTCGTGCTCTCGACGATTGGGAGGAAGTCTGGGTGCGTGACACGCGGGCAAGGGCGACGGTCCTAAGCCCGGCTCAGAGACCCCGCTCGTACGTCATCCAGACGCCCAGTGGCATATTAGTGAGAAACCGCAGACACCTTGTCCCCTGCAGCAATCCTCAGTCGGCCCCCTCAGATGAGACGGGAATCCCCAAACCTGTGGCCCCGATATCGGCGCCGTCTCCAGGACTACAGCGGGCAGCAACCGGTAACGCATCAGACACTCCAGCTCCTGCACCTGCTGCAGCATCGCCAAGTCACCGTTATACACGATACGGCCGGCGCGTGGTGCCACCTCGGAGACTGAATTTGTGAGACTGCTGCAAGGACTGTTTCTTGGTGGTGCTCTTTTGGAACGCTCCGGAAGGAGGGATGTAGAGGACGCCACCTGTTGCTTCTAGTAACTGGGAGGTGGCGCCCCCACTCTGTATAAAAGGCATCGGTGGGCATTAAACGGGGCTTTTTGCTGTTTGTGAACTACGCGTTGTCGGGTCATTCTTCGCGGGCTTCACGCCCACTTTTGGCTCGGCTAGCGGCGTCTGCGCTACCCGGGCACGTAACTACAATAACAATCCGGGTGCGGCGATGGCGTAGTGGTTAGAGCATCCGCCTCGCATGCAAGAGGTCCATGGTTCAAATCCCGGTGCCGCGCAGTTCCCAACCGGATTTTAAAAAAAATTCGCATGTTGATGGAACTGCATTAAGAGGCCTGGGGTGCGGCCTCACCGGTAACCACCACCGGGAACGCACTCCCTCACCAGAGAAGGATTGGCCACCCTGTTGCAGTATCTGGCCACTACCTCCCACATGCATACGTCCAATAACTCACGGCCCTCAGTCCCCAGCAGCTGCGAAGCAACTGACCACGGCGGCGGTCAGATCTGCAACGCAGCAGAGGGTGCTAAGAATCTTTGGATCCGGAGAGGCTGCCATTGGAACCTGAACTTGGCAACGTTTAACGCTAGAACCCTATCTAGTGAGGGAAGTCTAGCTGTACTATTCGAGGAGCTAGAGGGTGTTAAATGGTATATAATAGGGCTCAGTGAGGTTAGGAGGACAGATGAGGCCTATACTGTGCTACAGAATGGGCACGTCCTTTGCTATCGGGGCTTGGCAGACAGAAGAGAACTGGGAGTGGGGTTCCTATTTCACAGAAACATAGCTGGCAACATAGAGGAATACTATAGCATTAATGAAAGGGTGGTAGGTATTGTAATTAAACTGAGTAAAAGATACAAGATGAAGGTAGTACAGGCTTACGCACCTACACCCAGCCATGAAGACGCTTCAGTTGAAAGCTTCTATGAACACGTGGAGTCGGCAATGAGTAAGGTAAAAACACAGTATACTATAGTGATGGCCGACTTTAATGCAAAGAAAGAAGCAGGCTGGAGACCAGGCAGTAGGAGATTATGGCATCGGCACTAGAAACGCCAGAGGAGAGCTACTAGTAGAATTCGCAGAACGCAATAATTTGCGGATTTTGAATGCCTTCTACCGAAAACGAGAAAACCGCAAGTGGACATGGAGGAGCCCTAATGGCGAAAATAAGAACGAAATAGACCTTATAATGACTGCACACCCAGGAATCGTGCAGGATGTGGAAGTGGTTGGCAAGGTACGATGCAGTGACCATAGAATGGTACGGTCTCGAATTCGCCTAGACTTGAAGAAGAAACGACAGAAACTGATACGCAAGAAGCCAATCAATGAGGTAGCACTAAGAGGGAAAGTACAGGAATTGAGAGTGTCGCTGCATAACAGACACTCGGCTCTTAGTGAGGAAACCATCCGTAGCGTAGATACAATGAATGATAATCTGACGAGTATCATTACGGAGTGTGCAGTGGAAGTTGCAGGCAGGGTAGTTAGACAGGACACTGGCAAGCTTTCCCAAAAAACGAAGAATCTCATTAAGAAGCGTCAAATCATGAAAGTCTCAAGTACAACAGACAAAATAGAACTAGCAGAGCTTTCGAAGTTGATTGATAGACGTAAAGTATGCGATGTAAGAAGGTATAACATGGAGAGAATTGAACACGCTCTGAAAAACGGAGAAAGCGTCAAAGCAGTGAAGAGGAAACTTAGGATAGGCAAATGTCGGATGTATGCACTAAGGGACAAAGAAGGCAAAATAACTACCAATATGGATAGGATAGTTAAAAAAGCGGAGGAGTTTTACAGAGATCTGTACAGTAGCCGAGACAACCACGACCTTAATACTATAAGAACTAACACTAACCCAGATGACACCCCACCAGTAATGATAGAAGAAGTCAGAAAAGCTTTAGAAGAAAATGCAAAGAGGCAAAGCTGCTGGTGAGGATCAGGTAACATCAGATCTGCTGAAAGATGGAGGACAGATTGTGTTAGAAAAACTAGCCACCCTGTTTACGAGGTGTCTCCTGACGGGAAGGGTACCAGAGTCTTGGAAGAACGCTAGCATCATCTTAGTACATAAGAAAGGAGGTGACAAAGACTTGAAGAATTACAGGCCGATCAGCTTGCTCTCTGTAGTATACAAGCTATTTACAAAGGTAATTGCTAACATAGTAAAGAAAACATTAGAATTCAATCAACCAAAGGAACAAGTAGGATTTCGAACAGGCTACTTAACAATTGCCCACATTCATACTATCAATCAGGTAATAGAGAAATGCTCAGAGTATAACCAACCACTATACATAGCCTTCATAGATTACGAAAAGGCGTTTGATTCAGTAGAAATATCAGCCGTCATGCAGACACTGCGGAATCAGGGCATAGATGAAGTATATATAAACATTCTGGAAGAAATCTACAGAGGATCAACTGCTACCATAGTGCTTCATAAAGAAAGCAACAGAATACCAATCAAGAAGGGTGTAAGGCAGGGGGACACAACCTCCCCAATGCTATTTACCGCGTGCTTACAAGAGGTTTTCACAAGCCTAGAATGGGAGCAGTTAGAGATAAGAGTTAATGGAGAATACCTTAGTAACCTGCGCTTCGCCGATGACATTGCATTGCTGAGTAACTCAGGGGACGAATTGCAACTCATGATTACGGAGTTAGACAAGGAGAGCAGAAAGGTGGGTCTTAAAATTAATCTACAGAAAACGAAAGTAATGTACAACAACCTCGGAAAGGAGCAGCGCTTCGAGATAGGTAATAGTGCACTTGAAGTTGTAAAAGACTATCTCTCTTAGGGCAGGTAATAACCGCAGAGCCTAACCACGAGATTGAAGTAACTAGAAGAATAAGAATGGGGTGGAGCACATTCGGCAAGCACTCTCTATATATGACAGGTATATTGCCACTATCCCTCAAGAGGAAAGTATATAACACCTGTATCTTGCCGGTACTTAGCTACGGAGCAGAAACCTGGAGACTTACAAAGAGGGTTCAGCTTAAATTGAGGACGACGCAGTGAGCAATGGAAAGAAAAATGGTAGGTGTAACCTTAAGAGACAAGAAGAGAGCAGAGTGGATTAGGGGACAAATGGGGGTTAAGTATATCATAGTTTAAATAAAGAAGAGGAAATGGACATAGGCTGGGCATGTAGCGCGTAGACAGGATAACCGCTGGTCATTAAGGGTAACTAACGGGATTCCCAGAGAAGGGAAGCGGAGAGACAGAAGGTTAGGTGGGCAGACGAGATTAAGAAGTTTGCGGGTATAAATTGGCAGCAGCAAGGACAGGACCGGGTTAACTGGCGGAACATGGGAGAGGCCTTTGTCCTGCAGTGGACGTAGTCAGGCTGATGATATATATATATATATATATATATATATATATATATATATATATATATATATATATATATATATATATATATATATATATATACCAAAAATGAAAGTGATGCTGGGTCCGGGAAATATTATTCGTATAGGAAAAAAGACGCACGTACGAAGTTATTTTTTGACGTTTTGGCCGTGGGTCCTGATGAAGGCCGGACCCACGGCCGAAACGTCAAAAAATAACTTCGTACGTGCGTCTTCCTTCCTATACAAAATATATATACATATATATATATATATATATATATATATATATATATATATATATATATATATATATATATATATATATATATATATTGATATGAAACAGCCGCTAAACACGGCTGCATGAAAGAGGAGAGAGGAGGACGAAATGGGTTTTTCAGTTGGATGCTGGTCTGGCGCCATCTTACTCGTCGAGTTCTGTGCGCTGTAAATAGATCATTAAACAAGTTACTCGTAACATTATTGGTGGAGGTGGACGACCCCTGTACCTCGATGGAGACGCGCAGCGGTCGCACCATCGGCGAGCTTTCGACTGCTTCGACTGCCGGTACTTCCTCTACGCCGCCGTCGTCAGTCCAAGCCACCACCTACGTCACACTCCCGCACCTCCGGGATCCCGCCACTTTCTCCGGTGATGGTACGATCGATCTCGACACTTGGCTGAAGCGGTATGAGCGCGTCAGTGCAACTCACCGCTGGGATCCCACGCTCATGCTCGCTAACGTGCTTTTCTACCTGGACGGCACTCCCCGAACATGGTTTGAAAGCCACGAAGCCGACATAACGAGCTGGGATCTCTTCAAAGAAAAGATACGTGACCTGTTTGGCGATTAATCTGGTCGTGAGCTCGCTGCGAAGAAGACTCTTGCCACACGGGCCCAGTCTTCTACCGAATCGTACGTCTCCTACATTCTTGACGTTTTGGCCCTTTGTTCCAAGGCCGACCAGTCCATGTCCGAAGACGAAAAGGTTAACCACGTCTTGAAAGGCATTGCCGACGATGCTTTCAACCTGCTGGTTTTTAACAACATCCTTAAAGAATGCCGACGTCTCGAACAAGCTAAAGCCCGCCGTGTACCCCAAAA